ATGACTGCTGAAAAATATCTTTTTATTGTAGGCAGGATTTTTTAAATGCGATGTGTGATTGTTTATCATATGGAATTTCAGGCTTGAAATGTTTTAGGTTATAAATACCAGTGTTTGAGTCACTTGCATTCACAACTTTAAGATCTTTACCTACCTATCATAAGCCCTAAATAGCCAGGCATGATTGTGCAGTACCAAGCTGTACTCCAGGGGTGCTTATTTCAGTGAGAACCAGTGTGTTTTTAAACATGTTCCTCAAAAACAAGGCAGGCAGCTTCAATTATTTCTGTGATTTTTTTGTAGTCAGGACTGTTCTGTTTATAAAACTTCATATTTATGTGGCTTTCAGCCATTTGGCATGGCACTTCCTATCTTTAATCTGATTTCCAGAGATGATAACTTATTTCATGGAAGCAGAGTTTTACCAGTGGTATGACTTGCATTTTCTCTTCTTCTCCCTAGACACGAATCTTACAAAACACAGTACAGGGCAATGTTTGTGATGAACTGCTTTGTTAACAAAGAGGAAATTCTGAAATACAGAAAGAAGATAAAGAAAATAAATAAGAAAAGGAAGCACAGTGAAGAAACTACTTCTGTACAGTCAAATCAAGAAGAGGAGGAAGTGTATCATCCAGTATTATGTACTGAATGTTCAACTGAGGTGGCAGTGATGGATAAAGATGAAGTTTTTCACTTCTTCAATGTTCTAGCCAGCCACAGCTAATATGCAAAAGCAGAAAAAAAGTGCTCTGTTTAAGATTGTGTGAAGTATCAGAAGTGCAGGCACATTAGTCTTTTTAAAATACGTTCTTTTAAATGTACACCTTTATCAGAGAACTTTACAGTGGTTGGACTTCTGACACTATTGCTATATTCCTTTTTATGAAAGGAATACTGTTAACTGCTTGCATTTGAGAGTGATATTCTTTTACACTGTCAGGTGGTTGCATTGTTGAGGATTTAATGTTTTGTAAATACAGTGTAAGATCTGCATATTATGATCATTCCCTGTATATGTACTGCCCATTACCTCAAAATGTATTAGAATTGCTGCTTAGAATAAATACTGTATAATCTGGTTCTCTCTAGCTGCATTGGTCATTTCTATGGAACTGTAAAACTTGGTGGTTCCCCGTGAGGATTTTGGGCTCCTTTATGCTGGCATTCTTTGTTGATTTGCACAAACATAGTTAAGATAAAGAAAGAATTGTCATTGTATTTGGATTTGTGGCTCATTCATACAATTTTTTATACAGACAGATTGGATGACTAGGTTATATCAACTTTGCTGGCGTGAATGATTCTGCATGGGTCATTTAAATCAACACTTAATGCTTAGTAATGCAGTTTGGAACTTTTAATATAAAGAGGTATGAAGAAAAGAACCTGACAGGCTGTTTTGATTTTTTTTTTTTTTTTTTTTGGTTACTGCATAGATGTTGCAGCAGACAGAAGAAAGGACAGAGATGACATTGACTTTTTTTTTTTCCCAATATTTTTTGTAAAGTTTATAAATCTGATGAACATTTTGGCCCTTTGAATACTAAATGCTGTAGGCCAGAGTCTGCTGCTGGTTTGCCCACCAAAATTTGAGGATTTACACTGTGAGGAAGATAAATGACCAGGGTCTTATATTAGATGTATCTGGGATTAATGTGAAGGAAGCTGTGGAAGTGACATAGCAAGCTAAGGTGGAGCAGGATGTAAAAAGGAACTGAAGGAAAAGAATCAGTAAGATGTTTTAGGGTTTTGTCGTTGCCTGAATAACAATTATGCACAGGCCACAACTTGGAAGGACCTGCTGGAAGCAAATTCCTGTTCTAGTCAAGTATCACACAGTGTAGTGGACAACTTAATGCAATGCAGACTGGTGTGATCTGTGCCTCTTCTGGCACTTTTACAGAGCTTCCTGAACATCCCATGGATTGGTAGCAGTGCTATTGCATGCTTACTTATTTATTAATTGCTTTTTTGGATACTGGCTATCTTCATGTGTGGTTTTTTTGTTTTGTTTTGTTTTAAAGGAAATTTAAGATTTATTTAACTTCTACTGAAGGAATTTAGTACAAATATCAATATTCACCTTTTTCTTTACAGATTTCAAGGAAATCACTTGTTACTGATGGTGGAGGAAATAGGAGCCATCAAAATTTTTGTCTTACTGAAACGTAGAGCATGCGTTCTTGTAAAATTGGGGTTAAATGCAGACTGATTGTACTTTCCAGTAAAAAGAAAGTAAATCCTACTACACTTTGAAAGCTATATAGGTCCACTGTTAGAAAGTTGCAACTTTTATTTATTTGCTTTTTGTGGTTTTTTTTTCCTGATAATTCCAGAAGTGTAGCTGTGCAAGCCTTCGGACAGATTTGAGCTTGAAAGAAGAGTAAATATTGTAATTGGTGTTTACTGTATCCAGAAGAATGCTGACTTCCATAGTAGTATGGTAAACACAAATATCCTGAAATTACTTCTTGTTTCTCAGGAAGCAGCTTGGAATACATGTGCATTTTTACTTTAATGTCTTCACTTCCTATTTTTGCATCAGCAGAACCTTTACTTCTTGATGAAGCACTGAACTATTGAGGTAGCTGCTGAACACTTTGTTGGACAGGTTGATGTACTTTCTCTGCATATCAAACCTACAACTGAAATTGAGCTTTGATTTGAAACATGGGATCTGCTTAAGATAAGATCTCTATATCATTTTTCCTACCTATGGGCATGTTGTCAGAAATGATACCATCTAAAGTGGGATAGACTTATTACATGCTTTAAGAGTGGAGTTATATCTAGAAAATGTTGAATGTGAGAACTATTCCTTACTAACACTGTGGAGTAGCAGATGTAATAGAGCTATACTCTGTGCTGTAGGGCATAGTGGCCTCAATGCAAACTGTCTTCACAGTCCAGGTAATGCATGAAAGCTATGGAGAGTCAGGGTAAGATCTTTGCACTGAGCTGCTGAAAACAGGAGAATGTGAGAATGTTGTTCAGGGAATCAAAGTCAGTGCAGGTGGTAGCAGGAGGAGCAGTAGCCGATGGCAATTCCTAACCAGGAGTAGGATGGAACTGGTGGAGGATGGGACACTACACAGAGGAATAGTGTCCATTTTTTCAAGGGGCTAATAAGCAACAGTTGCCTTCTGAATAAGCACCAAAGTGAAAAGGTTTAAGGGACCAGCTGGTGGATGGGGCAGGAAATTGTGAAGCTGGCATGCTTCTCAGCATTACCTTCCTTCTTATCTCATGTACTTACTGCTGCTTTTTGCTCACTTGAATTGCAGTCCCTCTTCTTGTGAAGCATGGGAGCAGGTGAGACTGGGACGTGTTCACTCCATATTGATACTGCTCTTGCAGATGTGAAAGGGAGTAGTGCTTTAGTTGTGCTAAAAACGCCATGTGTCCTTGGACTTAGTGTTTATTTAGAAAGGTAGCTTTCATCATGGCTGCAATTCTTTCAAGCAGTGTCAGCAACACAAGACTCCTCCAGTATCAACTACAACAAGTAACACCTGTCTTGGGTAGGGGCAACAGCTCCTGTAGCCAGCTATGTGGGGGTATTAATTGTATGAATATGCTTATTTCTTCTTGTCCAGATAAATTATGTCTGAATGTATTCTGGCTGGATTAAATCCCATATCAGATCTTTCCACATAAATAACTACAGTATTTGCTTGTCTCTGCCAGCTAGTTTTCTTTTGCGCAGCTATCTCCTGGTGCTGCAGGTGCAATTTGCAGTTCTGTAAATAATTAATATGAGCACCCTCCTGTGACTGTATTTCCTCGCTTTCCACTGCAATAACAACACTGGTTATGTTGGTGTGAGGCAGCTGCAAGACTAGAATTGCACTAGAACTGACATAACCTAAAGCTGTTCTACTGAGCAGGATGATGGCAGAGGGCTGACAGCAGTTTCTCATCTGTGGTGCACACCTGGCATGTGCGTGAGGCCTTTCCTGGTGGCCTGGCTCCAGCACACAGGGGTTGGTTGTACCTTGTACTTGGTTGGCTTAATTGTGATGCTTGATTTCCCCACGTGTTGCTTTTCACTGGGTTTGTGTTCTAACTATTGCATTTGAAACCCAACTGTCCACGTAAGCTGCCAAGAGCTGTTATAACTGTGTGGTCCCAGGCCAATCTCTTGGCCTTAGATAAGGAAAAAGTCAAAATAGCAGTTACGAATTTCTAACACTAAAGTGTCTGGCCCTGAACACCTCTCAGAAGTACAAAGTTAGCAGCTCTCATGATAAGAAGTTGATCTTTTGCCTTTCACTGTTGCTGTGCGGTCGATCTAGTCAGTCCAAGTTGACAGATTGTAAGTTCTCCTTTATCCAAGCAATGGTTTTGAGTGGGCTTTGCCAACTGAATACTGATGGTACCGAAGCATTCTGCAGAACCCTCTAACACACTTCTGATGGATCACATTGAGTGCCATCTTCAGGTGGTCTCTAACACCCAGTATGTCCATTTAAATGAAACAGGATGAGAGAAACTGCGTGCAGCAGTCTTCCAGATATGACTCAGATCTGCTCACATGGTGACGGACAGTCGTGTGATGTGATGTGATCTAATCAGGAACAGCCTCGTGCATACAGCTGATTTATTCTGTAGGGGAAAATCAGTGCGTTCTGCTTTGGGGGCTGGGTTTTGTAATACGTGACGCGGGCTTCTCCTGGGATCTGCAGAGACTGTTTTGTACAAGAACGCGGGCAGCCTCACGGCCCCTCTAACCGACTCCAGGACTGACTCGCAGTGAGGGCGGAAGGGAGAGGCTGCGCTCCCCTCCGCTCCCTGCGCCCTGCCGCCAGAGGCCGTGCGCCGCAGCCTGGGCGCTCAATGTCCGCACCCCCCTTCGCCCGCTCCGGGGCGCCGCCGGCCCGGCCCGCGCCCCGCCCGCCTCGCAGCGCCTCCATTTCGGGAGGCCGCAGCCCGGGGCCGGGCCTCGCGCGGCGGGGCCAGTCGGCAGAGACGGCGGGAGAGGGCGGGTCCCGGGCAGCCACCGCCCCCGTCTCCGATCGGCCTGGGCCCGGCGCAGGCGGCTCGGGGCCGGCGGCGGGCGGGGAGAGCGCGGTGCGCGCCATGGCGCTGGGCTCGGCCTGGAAGCAGATGTCGTGGCTGTACTACCAGTACCTGCTGGTCACCGCGCTCTACATGCTGGAGCCTTGGGAGCGCACCGTCTTCAGTATCCTTGTGCCGGCGGCGCGCGGCTTGCCGGGCGGGCAACTGTGGGACCGGGTGGGCTACGGACGGCGTCTGGCGCTGTAGCCGAGGCCGGCCGGGGCGGCGGGGCCGTGGGAGAGGTGCGCGGGGAGCTGGCGGGGCTGCAGCCGGCACGGGCGTAGCGCGGCCGGAGTCGGGGAAGAGCCCGACTGCCCGCGTGTGCCTTCTGTCACAGGCGTCTGGCCGCTCCGACTGCCTCTGCCCGGGGCCTGGCGTGCTTTCTCCTGTGCTTTTAAATTATTATTTTTATTATTTATTATTTTTATTTTAAAAATTTTTTTTCTCCCGTAGAATTGCGGTAGTTTTTCCCCCCCGACTCCTCAACTGGAGCCCCACGGTTTCTGCTCAGCGCAGGTCTTTCGTGAAATTTGTTTTGTTGTCTAGTAGAAAGTAAATGTGTGCTGCCAAACCTGGAGGGTTTTGGCTGCGCTTTGTCACACGGTGTTTGTTAGAAGAGCACTTAATCCTTCAGCTGGTAAATTTGTTTGGCTCTTCTGGAGTGGAAGAACTGGCTAGATTCTAATGTGGAGGCTTCTGTATGCAGACTGCTTGTAGGTGAGCTTCGTCAGGCAGCTGTGTCAGACTGGCACTGCGGTCTCCTAAGGGCTGTTATTTATCACAAGTGGTGTTCTTTGCAAGCGTGGCTGTTTTGATCTCGAGTTAAAATGATGTCTCATGAAATGACCCTGAGCCATCTCCAGTTAATGCTGAGAGGCACGGAGATAAACTAACAAAAACATTAACGCTGCTTTCAACCGTCAAGAAGGGTTGAAGAGTGAAAAGCTGCTTTTCCTGCTCAGTTGTAAAGGAACTCGTTTCATTATATAAGAGTGGTTTCCCAGGTTACAGCTGGTTACAGGTTGCAGAGAGTTTTCTTCTGTACACTTGGTAAAAGTGTGGTCATTATTATTTTTTGGCTTTCTAATACTTACAGATGCACTGTGCATAGTTATTGAGACAGTGGTTCTTAGTTTCAAAACACCGTGTGTGTTCTGACAGAACACCCTCATCTGTTTATACTGTGTCTGTATCACTGAAAACGTTTCATTTTTGTTTTCCTTACAATTAGGCTAGTTATAAATATATATTTTTTTCCTTTTGTGTTAACCAGACAGCTTCTTAACTTGGACAGGCCATTTAAGTAATTAACAGATGTGTATGCATGTTTACTTACTTTATAAAGTGCTTGTTTTGCAGTGAAGTGATTGTTGCTCCACTTAAAATAATGTCGTGAGTGTCCCATGTATTGTTTGCTGCATCAGATGAGCAGAACTGTGCCTGTCCTCAGAGGGAATGCTGTCACTGCTGGTGGGCCAGGTCTGCCAGGCACTGTGCAAGGACCACACAGGCAGAGGGCCTTGGAGATGACAGTGGAGACCTGCTAGGTGCATTTCCAGCCTCTTGTGTTCTAGAAGTGCTGGGAGCACTGATACTGGAATGTAGATCTATGGGTTGACCTTCATTTTAGCGTCTTGCATTGTGCAATCTTCTGGGACTAAAAATACACCCAGAAGCTGGTATGCTCTAATAAGCACCACATATACTTCTGCTCTATCTTGGGGAAGTCAGTCACAGAGCCTTTGTTGCACACGTGCTGTGGTAACTTCATTTCTCAAAGTTACAGAGCATGCACGGCTCCTCTGATTTCACCTGTGGAAACTGAGCACTGTTATCTGTGTTATCATGCTTGTTAATCTTCAGAGCTTTATATAGTGTTTCTGAATCTCTGCAGGTTATTGTTGACTTTTGAATTTCTGAAGTCTTAAACTTTGAATGGCCTAATCCTTGAGTAGTCTGATGCTGTAGTTTCTGCAGATAAAGCCTGGAGAATCCTGGAGTGTGACAAAGGTCTAGTTGTATGTTTACATTGTAAGCTATCTGACTTCTCTAAGTTTCTGGTTTCCGTTTGGAAAGTTCAGCTAAATGAAGGGATCATCTTAAGATTGCTTAGCAGATGGCTTCATGTGAGGTTTGTTTTGCAGCTCTGACATAGTAAAACACCAGTGAGCATCTATTTATTTACATAAATTTACTCCAAATCATGCTGATCCTATGAGGCATTGTGACTGAAATATCTGAAAAGGTATGTGTAACAATGTCACCCACGGTTTTCATTACCCTTGAAGCCTTTTTTTCCTAAGTACTGTCAACACTTAAATGGAGCTCCTTGTCTATGAGAAAAGGTCTGAGCTGATAGAGCAGCAAACCAAATAATGTAGTAACTTAAAGCCTAGGGAACACTGGTTTCCTGGCTTTATGGTTGCCGTACAACTTTCACACCAAATGTTCTGTGAATGATAAATTAAATTTATTATGTCATTCTGTTCCGATAAGTTGATATCAGCATTTAATACTGTCTGCTTAATAGCGAGTAGGTTGGGCACAAATAACAGCTCTTACTCAGTACGGGTATTCATATAATCCTTTTGTTTTTGCCTTTTTTTTTTTTTTTTTTTTTCCCAATGGTTGACTGTTCTGCCTGACTGATTGTGCTGGCTTCTGCAGGTATTGCTTAATACCTTGGAGGATGTATGCATAATTCATATATCCTCAGTGCCCGTTTTCAATTCCTTCTTCTCCCTTCCCATGCTTCAGTCTGTACTGTTGTGTCTGTGACAAGGCAGTGGATATCTTGCAAAGCGTCCTACTGTAATTCAGCTTATCACCCCTACCTGCGTTCTGTTTTCCAATCTTCTGTTGCTTCTTCCTACAGCTGCAACTGTTGAATACAGTTAGCACTTAGGATTTACAAATATAATGTTATGAGCTAGATAACAGAAAAATGGTAATGCTGTGCTTGTATGACTTCTAATGTGCTTTCGGTTTCAAATGCTTTCTTCCTTAACCGTAGTTCAGATTCAATGCTAGTTTCCATTGTTGGAATGGCACTGTACACGGGTTATGTGTTCATGCCTCAGCACATCATGGCGATATTGCACTACTTTGAAATTGTGCAGTGATGAAGAATGTATGTTGAAGAAGTAATCATGCTCTGAAATCTGGTCGACAAAGAAGATTGAACCTCTTAGTTTTAACGAGACTTCTACCAATGTCCAAAAAGGAAAGACACAGTGATGATTCTGACGACTAGGAAATGAGATATGTAGAGCTGGGGCACGAGATGTCCCCTATGTTGTGTTAATTCCTTTTGATTTTACAAGATATGCCCTTGTATAGTAGTTTTGTCTACCTTAACATTGTGATTGTACTTTGATATCAGTATTTTCTTAACTTTGTGACAGTTTCGATATTGCACTGTGAAAGCTTTTCTTAATTGTAATTTTGAGTAAATCTTAATTGCCTTCTATTTTTAATCAGAAAATCATCTAATTAAATGGGGCTTAAAGCTTTTGCTATTGTATGGTATGTATTTGCCTGGGTATTTCTATCAATGCATTTTTGTAAGAAAATACATCTAGATTCATATTAGAGACATGGATATATTCGTCTAACACTATTTACACAAATTAGTTTGTATTACTGAACTCAGGTGTACTGTTTTCTTGTTCAAACTTTGTTCAACAGTATATTTGTGCGTATCACCTGAATTTGGAATTAGCAATTATTTCGAGTTTCTGTGCTCTGTATGTTGGAGGAGAGTGAGAGAGAGAAAGCGCTGTAACAGTGAAGGCTGCATTCTTTATGTTTGAAGAAGTGCTGTGGTTATGGTCTTTTCATAGTGGGAACAAAAGCACTTTGCTGACATAGGCCCACATAAAGCTTTGGGATAGTACTTTAAATCAACACTTTTTCTAACAACCGATTAAATTGTACTTTTACATAATGCTTTGTTATGTTCCACTGGTGATGGTTTTCTGCTAATTTTCACTCAAAAGTGTAACAGCCTATGTTTTAAAAGGGGTTTTCTATCGCTGCTAGCGTTCCAAATGTGTTCTCTCTACAAATGACCAAAACGTAGGGTTATAAATGGACTCGAGTTAAAACTACAGCAATAAGTAGCTGAAAACTTGACTGAAGTCCTGTCTTTTTTTTTTTAATTTTTTTTTTTTTTAATAGGGATTTTTTTTCAGTTTTGTATACTGAAATGTAAGATGGTGACAACCTAACTTTCTTAAGTGGTTTTTTTTTTTGTTTAAAAAATAAAACTTTAAAGCAGAGCTTTGCTGCAAAACTTTCTTTGAGCAGTTAGTGTGTTTCTGAATGTTGCTTACTTTTCTCAAACCTATACAAAAATGAGAACTAGGACGTGACCAAAGAAGTGTGATTTAGTGGCCCAATAATAACATGCACTGTTGCATTTTTTTATGCGACTTCTTTTATAATGAGGAATTTTACCTAAGTTGTACAACTAAACTGTTCTATAAATACATAAATACTGTCTTTTAGGTTTATGTGGCTTTCTCAAATGCACACAAAGCAAAAAACCTTTTTTCATTTAAGTACTTTATGCATCTCTGATGGAAACTCTGTCATCATCTTTGAGCTATAAACAGTGGGCCTTCTTAGGTGAACCATAGCTTTACTGCCATTGGTAGAGGTCTGTCACTAAATTAGTGCCTTGCTTAGGGTGGAATTTTTTGTGAAAATTTCTTAAACTTGTAATTGCCATTTTACTTATCCCATGTCTGCACGAGAGGCCCAAGCAGCAGTTACTGATTTGATAAAGCTGGAGACAACAGGCATGTAATCCTGCCTTTCCTTATTTAAAGTTGGAAGAGCAAACATAGGCAGTTTTATTTTTAAAGTGCATCCACATGTGTGCATAAATATTTAAAAAATAAAAATGGAGTTAATGAGTAGTTAACATTCTCTTTTTGAAGTAGTGTATTCTAAATTCATGCTGCCCATGGGTTAAGTTGGTACTGTGATGTGTCTTTGTGAACTACTATTGTATTTGAGGCAAATTACTGCTGAGAGAGGGTTTTAGTTGTATGGGGGGAGGGGGGAAGGATTACAGTAACAAGAAGAAAAAGCTCTGTGCTGTAGCATTATGAATGTTAAAAATGATTTTTAATTGTGAAAGGTTTCATAAAAAAAAAAAAGCCTTTTGATGTACTGACTTTTTTTAGCTGTCTTTTTTTTTTTTTTTTTTTTTTTTAGAAAAAGGGCAACCATAACCTTTAAACACTTGCATTATGTTAGAGTGGGCTTGATTGATATCGTACTTGGATTCAATTTGCTAATTTGAGGAATTTTTTTAGCAGTATTTTTTAAACTATAAATCAAGAATTTCTTAGAAGCTTTGGACTGTTCTTTTTGGCTCTAGATGCTTTGTTAAAGATGAAATTATTTCATTAACAAAATACTGTATGTTTCTAGAGGTATTTCTAGAAGGAAGTATCAGCACGGTGATTTTTGTAAAGCTGTTCTAATGAAGAGATGGATTAAGTGCAATAATTATGAAGGAAAATGAGTTTTTTTTTTTTTTTTTTAAAGTAAGGATGTTGGTAGGAATTTAGTTCATCATTAAATTTGAATAATAAATGAATCCTAAGGCTATGAAGTTGTTTCCCCACTGCAGTCTGCTTTAACATCATGTTAACTGGGGAATCAATTCCTTCATGTTACATACTTTGAGCTTTTTCTTTGCAAGCTGAGGCACCTTAAATTCCATTTGGAGGAAGCAGGTCAATTATACTTCTGTTTAAAAAACGATGTTGTTAACCAAGCCATCCGTATTTTATATACAGATAGAAACAATAATTGCACCATGACTGGTGCAATGTCTATAAAAACTCCTAAAAACTCCTATGGTAGAAAGTGCTGTAGCTGTAAGAGGAAACTTAGCCACGAAATCCAGCTGGAAACTGTTCTGGGACATGTGTGTGCGTGCATGTGTGTGTGTATGCATGTCCCTGATCCCTCAGTTTTATAAAAGTGTATCCTCCTGCTAGATGATTCCTTCTTTCAGTTTCTTCCTCAAAGATACTTCTCTGAGGTGGGATCAGGCTAAGATTAGCAAGACTCAGATGTAATGTCTCTGGAGGCTGTGATAACTGTGTTTCTTTGAGGTTACTGTGTAGCACTTAATAGGTTGTGGGTGTTATTTTTTTGTTTCTTGTTTTTAACTTCCTTGTGAAGGAAGACTCAAGAATCCTAAAGCAAGACTTTCTCACTGAAATTTAGCAAAAAAAAAAAAAAAAGAAAAGAAAAGAAAAAAGTCATTTGTGCATTCATTTAAACATTAAAAAGAAACAGGTGTGAAAGGACTGTAGTCCTTTAGTCCTATAGTCCTTAGAATCAGAATATCCTGAGTTCGAAAGGGCCCACAGGGATCTCCGAGTCCAACTCCTGGTTCCATACAGCACCCAATATCTGAGAGCGGTGTCCAAATGCTCCTTGTTCTCCGGCAGCTTGGGGTTTGTGCCCACTGCCCTGACAGCCTGTTCCATGTGCTTCTCCCTCTGGTGAAGGACCTTTCCCTAACTTCCAGCCTCACCCTCCCCTGACACAGCTCCTTGCTGTTCCCTTAGGCCCTGTTGCTGTCACAGAGCAGAGCTCAGCGCTGCCCTCCGCTCCCTGTGAGGAGCTGCATACGCCATGAGGCCTCCCTCCAGCTCCTCTGCTCTGGGCTGAACATACTACAGGACTAAGGTGCTCCTCATGCGTCTTCCCCTGTAGACCTTCCACCATCTCCATAGCCCTCCTTTGGATAGTCAAATACTTTTATATCCTTCATACACTGGCACCCAAACTTGCACACAGTGCTCGAGGTGAGGCTGCACCACACAAGCAGAGCAGGACAACCCCTTCCATCACCCAGTGGCTGTGCTGGCCCTGGGGGTACAGCTGGCTTTGGGCTGCCTGGGCATGCTGCTGGCTCAGAGTCAGCTTGCTGTCAGCCAGAGCTCGCTGATCGCTTTCCTCGTGGGTGCTCTCTGATGTCCCCCAGATTGTACAAAGATCTGGAGTTGCCTCATGCCAGGTGCAGAATCCACCTGGATGAATATAAGTTGAATCTTAATGGTATAATGGGTGGGCATAGGATTACTGCGGATTGGTGCAATTAGTTTGATAGGATCTGCTGTGCTGTTTGTCTTGGGTGCAGTAGAGAAGCATGTGTTATAAATGCTGAAGAGGGAATACCTGCTACTGTCTAGCAAAAAAAGATTGTATTGAGATTAACAAGCACAGCATGAAGAGATTTGATCCTGTGGTATTACTGGACTGCAAGCAAAGTTCTGATGAGAAAAAAGTCATCCTCTAAAACACCAAAGGCAGCATGTTCTGGAGTTGGGACACCAATAGTTTTTTTTTTTTTTTTTATTGTCAGAAGTTCCTTTTCATCAGACAATTTGCCCATGTTTTCTACAACTGCTGTTATGGGACAACAATTTCTTCCACTCTTGCCCACCCTAGCACCAGGGTTGCTTTTTCTTCTTTTCTTTTTTTTTGATTGTTTGCTTTAAAGATAGAAGCATAAAACTTTATCTGTCATTTGCATTGTTTCTCTATTCAGTCTGCTGTGGTCAGACTTAAACAGAAGTATTGACTGAGCACAACAACTGCTGTCTCCCTTTCATCAGGATGATTTAAGGGGGAAAATCTGGCATCCTAGTCCTGATCTGAATCAAGCTTCCTTTCCATGTAATGGGGAGAAATGAAATTGTAGATGTGAAATATCCCGCTCTGGGATTTCTGCGGAAACTCTTCTGTTTTTCTTAACAAATTCAATATATAAAATTCAGTGCATTATTACAAGATTTTTCCATCCATCTAAACTGTCACAGTGTAATTGAAGACTGAGGAATGGTGACCATCCACTCTCCCTGAGAGATTCAAGCCCTGATTCAATTTCTAAAGTGTCATAAAAGTCAAGCTTTTTCTTCACAGTATTTTTGCAATGACAGTAGGTGTATTTCAAATGTTACAAGTACTTACAGTGAAGAAGAATGGGTAAATACATTATACAATAGCTTATCACTAAATCCTATATACGATGCTGTGAGGCAATCTTGGCTGAAACTCAAGCTGTCCTGAGGTGGCATTGTTGGTGAAACTCTTAGCAGTGCTTTGTGAATTCTGTGAGCCTATAGACTTTAGAGATCTGTGCTTGTTCACAGGGGGAGTACTTGTATTTAAAACAAACAAGGTATTTAGACCTTATAATGGGAAAACCATATTTTTGAAAGAGGCCTCTCAAATATCAGGGACTCTGTTTTATATGTGCAACAGTTCCTTACATTTTGTTGTTGCTCATTTAGTACTATGTGACTCCAAATATCTGTGGGTCTTTGGTATTTTGATGTCTGTTAATGGCTTTTAATGTAAAGACATTCTACTTTCCTTTGCAAAGGGGGTCCTCTGTTAATTGCATTCTTTATTCTGGAGGAATTTTTAAATGTGTTACAGTGATTCTAATCTAAACTTGGCTCATTATGTGATATCAAAGGGGAGGTGCATAGGGTGGAACTAATATAAAAGGAAAGAGGCTGAAAATGAAATTTTCATTTGCCCTTGGACAAGCATAAGGATGGATTGGATGAAAATTATTTTTAAAGGCTTTTGGTTTCTGTGGAACTTCAACTCTTGCAGAATGGGTGTTTCTAGTATTTTGACAAATGTTAGAATTATTTCCCTCAGCATAAAGCATAACATTGTTTTCACATGGCTGTGTTGAAATTTGACATAATCCATTGCTGATACTCATGTTAAACCCCAAAATTTACCAGATGAAAATGTGAATTTTTCACATAAATATGACAGTTAATGAATTAGGAACTTTAAGCTGCAGAAGCGTTGGTTTAAGGTAGCATTTTGGAGTGAAAGCCCAGTGTATTGCACACTACTGTATTTAATCATAATTACCAGATATTTTCCAAA